GGGGGGGGGATCGTGGTAGTTAGAAGCCAGAAGTCAACTGCCGGTTTATAGACGTTTTTGCCGTATGAGTATACGTTGCCCAGGGTGCACCACGTGGAGGTAAGTCTATCGCACACCCTGCTAATAAATCTTTACTAGCATATGTAAGTATAAGTAATTTAAAGAATCCATTGATGTTAAATTTGTATTTATTCTATTTAGTTAATCATACGAAAAATCGTTTGGCTTATTGGGATAAACTAGTTTAAACGACAGAAATGCTGAATAGTTAGACTAGAAGAAATAATAATGCCAAAATCTAACAAATAGATGGGTCATACTTTTTTAGATCGTTTCCTTGCTATTTTATATTTGTATAAGAAAAACGTAATGAATAAGAGAAGTATTTATTTTAAAATTCCTTAAAAATTATAATGAGGAATAATTTTTCACAAATCTGTGCTTCATTTGTTGTTGCTGAAGCGGGTAAATCGAGACATTGGCCGCATTGGTTGCAGTGGTGTGATTGGACTGGATTTTAGTGATCGTGTACGTAATGGCAATGACACAAATTCCTAACGATATTTCCGCAATACCAAAATTTAAAGTAGTTGTGGTTGGTGATGGCGGTGTTGGGAAATCGGCATTAACTATTCAGGTAACCAATGCCTTCGTTATATATTCGCGTGTTAGTATTTTCAACACATGTTTCTCGAAGATCATAATCCTACCATTGAGGATTCTTATTTGCAAAATGTTGAGGTCGATGGGGAGTGGTGCGTTTTAGATGGTAGGTTTTGCTTTCATAAAATTTGATCTAAATCTTTTATATTCGTTATTTTATGCTTAAGTTTTTAATGTCTTTGACTCTTTCTTTCGTGTTCACTTAAATCCGTTCTTGTTTCGTTATTTGCGATATTGAGTAAGCATTTAGCATCGAAATCGCTTAATTGTATCCTGGGTTTTGCAATGTACTTGCTTAATTCACTCTTTTCTTTACGAATTTGTCACCATAATTTTTTGGTCTTAATAAATTAGAATATCTTTGGAGTGAGTTCATAATACATCTTTATGGTTTTATTAACAGTGGTGTAATTCGGACACGACTATTTCAACTTTGTGTCGAAAAGAAAATTTGCAAGCATATTTGACATCCCTACGGATTTAATTTTTTACGATTTTTTTCTGTATTCCTTTCTACGTATGAGCTAATATATTTATATCAGACTATTCCGCAACCTGTGTGCTCAATCTGTTATTTGCGTTACAAGGCATTGTGGACATGAAGTGCAGTTAATAATGATGCCATCGTTTTAAACTGTTGATTTATTCGTATATACCTTAAAATTTAAACAATATTTAGCGCGTTTCATTCAGGGATTTATACTGATATTTTGTATTGTCACTTTCCTATATTTCAGAATATTCAGGAAACATAATTGTTGATGTCAGCTCAGTTTGGCTTTTTGGCGTTGAGTCGAACAAAGCTCCTTTGCATTATTTGCTTGAACGGTTGGAATAACATCACGAGTAGTGAAAACTCTTCTGTCTTCTAGATTCTTTCTCTTTTAATACTACAGCTAAAGTGAATCTTGCTGTAATTTGGGTGATATGTGATTTGTTCACATAAATATATTTTCCTTTTGGTGTTTTCGTGTGTTGTTTCGAAGGGAATGACATCTCTGAAAGCATGCAGTCCTTTGTAAAGTTTATTTATAGTCTAGTGATATTTTTTCAAAAGGTTGTTGTTTAAGTATTATATTCCTTTCTGCAATTTTATTTAGATCCGTTTGATAATTGCATTTCCTTTCAGCTTAAATGGAATGACTGCGGTATTATTTACATTAAAATTTTTCTGATGTTCTTCGTCTAGGATTGAGTAAGTACATTGCTTCCGTAATCTCTTGTGGAACGTTTTGTACGATGTGGTTTTTGCCTAGTGTTAGCGTATACTACATCAGTTCTCTTCATTTCCCATCATTTTACTCTCATAGATAAATTATATCAATCTCTGATTTGGAGAACATTCTTTCGGAACGCGAATCACTTAGTCACTTTTTGTAGTGTAGAAACGTTTTAGCTCACTGTGTGTTCCAGTAAACGGATACTTGTATACGCGAGTGTGCGTATTTCCTCTACAGAATCTGTTGTCTGAAATCTGAAATAAATAACAATAGTTGTTACTGTATTTGTTTTTTTTACAGTTCTAGACACCGCAGGTCAGGATGAGTTCAGCGCCATGCGAGAGCAGTACATGCGCAAGGGCCACGGCTTCATCATCGTCTACTCGGTCACAGACCAACAGAGTTTCCGTCAGGTGCGCCGTTTCTACACGCAAATTTTACGTGCTCGTGATCGCGACTCTTACCCCATGATCCTCGCGGCTAACAAAATCGACCTTGTCCAACAACGTGTCGTCACTCCAGAGGACGGCCAAAACCTCGCTCAGGAACTTGGCGTATGTCCATCTTTACACATTGCATTTGGGGGTCACGCTATTACTACTGGTATAACTGTTGTAGTGCAATAGAGATAAACGCTGAAGCGATCAAAACAATCAGATACCGGATTGTGCATAAGATTTGACTGCTTTTGGTACTTTCTCATTGGTTATCACAATTGATGAAATAATAGGAGTGGAAGTGTAATAAAGAATTTAATTATTATTTTTTTTATAAGCTACTCAGTCTTACACTTGATGCGGTATTTCCCTACCTCGATTTTTTGAAACAGTTTCCTTCTGGAGCATGTGGTTTAGACTTAGGATTACAAGATCACCTCTAAAAATCCGTTTTGTATTTAGTTCTAGCTTTGTTTAACTGCGTTCATGAAGTTGGAGAGAAGATAAAAACTCGATTTGAAAAGTACTAACTTACGACTCGTCCAAGGAGCTGTCTTGTCTTCTTTCTTCTTTTAGACAAATTGCTCAGCCAGAAATATTTGCATATTCTCATAGTTGTAATTAAGTCTGTTTATAAGAATTCGTTAACTTCCAAAGAACTTTTTGTCGAAAAATTGATTTTGGTAGCTGGTGTGCGAGCGCTTTGTCGTTTGGTTTATTCTTCTTTCCCTAGCTTTGAAGTGGATGAGAATCTAGACCCTTTATTAACTCGGACGTTCATTACGAATCAATAGGGATTCCTTGATAATAATTCCCAAATCCATTTTCACTAGTGAGGGCTACCGTGGAGTCTCCTCGGTAAGGTACTCAAATATGTGGATTTATTGGTTATTCAAAAAAATGTGATTATCTATGATTATTGTGTCTTGCCAATGAATGCGACATGCTCTTAAGGCCACTTCTTTGGTAGTTTTATTTACTTTTCCTTCTACTCCCTTTTGCGCTGTATATTTGTTTTTTTTATATCAACTATGTATGATTATAAATATGTGGTCTTCTGTTTTTCTTCCTTTAATTTTTTTATATATTGTCTTATTTACCTAGCAGCCCTTTTACTTCGATTCAGAAAGGAAACTATCGTCCCAAGCTTGTACTTATTCCTATTCATTCACTGCCGCTTATAGGTTCAATATATTGAAACTAGCGCGAAAAATCCTCCAGTGAATGTAGATCTTATCTTTCATGACCTCATTCGAATCATTCGGTGAGTCGGTATTTAATTATCAAAAGATTATCTCCTATTGAAACATAGTAAGTAGACAAGTTTTATACTTTTCAGAAAACAGCCGGTCAGCCCTCCTCTCACCAGTCAAAAACCGCGACCGAGAAAAGTGAAATGTACTTGCCTGTAAACAGAAGAACTTCTCTGTGATTACTTCTTACCACATAGACTAACGCAACCACTCGTATTGTCTATCTCTCCTCCGCAACGTTTCAACTCTTTACTTTCCAATGCATGTGTTGCCAATAATTCAAGCTTTTAATCCCCATCTTCTACTGTTTTAAGGTGTTACGTTGTCGGCATACACAAGTACATAAAGGGGATATATATATATATATATATATATATATATAAGTGTGTGTGTGTGTGTCTGTGTACAGAAGTGTGTGTGTGTGTCTTTTCTCCGAATTAAAGGTGATTTCCTGTTGCTTGCCCAGTGTCATTTTTACCCGCTGTCGCCTTCTTTCCTTCGGATAAATTTTCTTACGCTTTACTGCATATGCACAAAAAAACAATATATATGGGCATACTGATAACTTTTGCATCCTATTCAACGGGTCTTAAAACGCTGAACACAGATTACAGGTTTAAGTGGTGATTTTTGCTTAGAAAGAGGTCCTGAG